GGAGGTCGAAAGTGTTGAAGATGGTGAAGAAGTGGCTCGTGTGTACAGTGATATTAATGATGATGAGGAAAATGGTGAGATTAGCGAATGAATGAGGTTCGGTTTTTGATACTCAATTGTGTCGTGCAGCAATTTATTTATGCACGCCAGTTTTCTCCGGTGATTTTGTTTCTTCTTTCAAAGAGATGGATGATATGGGTGTGTGTACTGAGTTTAAGCGATTAATTGTAATACTGCAAAATGCGTTTCCTAAAGAGATTTTTGAACCCTTGAACTCTAAGAACTAGCAACTGATACATAATTCGATCTTTGTACATCTCATTGAAGATAAATTATACTTCTTTGTCACAGAGCTACAATGAAGATGGTCGCGATTAGTGTTGTAATCGAACCGAACGAGCTGAGCTTGGACATTTTGAGCTCGTGTTTGTTCGTTTATTTTTCGCGCAAAAAATCGTGTCTGAGCTTGTTCGTTTAATTGTTAGTTAACGTTCGAGTCTGTGTTCGAATAATTTAGGACACAAGCTTTTAAAAATTTCTTCTTTACCTTTAATCAAAATCTATATCTATATATATATATATATAATTGCTGGCATATAGAATTTAATAAAACATTTAATAAAGCCTCCATTCATTTTCCCGCTCATTTTCTCAATTAATATAGAACCGTTACATTTTATATTAATAAGGTGTAATAATAATTTTAATATAATTTATTTACTACTAACACTAATTGATTACAACTTTACATTAAATAGTATGTGGAAGTTACATACTTATAAAAAATTGTATTGCAATTTTTTTCTTTAAAATACTTTTTCTAAAATAAAATATTTTTGTTCTTTTTAAGCGATTTTTATCTAATAAGTTAATTGACATGAGTGTCATAATTAAACACCTTAACATCACATAAACAAATGCTATAACAATGATAAAAAATAAATGTAATACTTTTCTAACTAATTAATTGTATGGTCTCTCTAATTTACTAAATTATATTAGCCATTAAAATTTATGGCATCAATATAAAGATTCATACGTAAATTAAATAAATTATATTTACATTACACATTTGCATGTAGTTCAAATTTAAAACGTAATACATCAATTATTTAATATAAAATTTGTATATATTGTATACATAAATATAATATATAAATTTTTATTTTTTCTTTGTGCATGTGCACAGAATGAATACTAGTTGTTGTAGTAGGACCAAAGTGTTATTTGATGTAATTGATGAGAATACTAGTTTTTTACCCGTGCATTTGCACGGAAAGCTATATGATAAAGGAAAAAATAAAAATGAAAACAATAGCAAAAATAATAACATGGTCATTGATAACTCGGGTTCAAC